ATACCTGTGGCAATCCCCCTTCATCTTCTTTGCTTTGCCAAATGTTACAGCTCAGCCAGGGGCAAACACTTTCTGATGGGTGACACGTTGAAAGCTGCAGAGGTAACTGAGATACAGCTTTCAACGAGACAGCACAGCTACTGGGAGCAATCAATACCTGAAGTCTCTGAGTGCTGAACAGGCTAATTTAGCCAGAACCTTGGCAAGGAGCATTACCCTGTGTGGCACTCTGTGTTGACTAGAGCACTTTGGGTACCCAAACATGCGTATTTAAAGCCAGCTTTGGAATCTCCAAATAGCGTGTCAGATGAAGTTAGACAAGAACAGGGCTGAAATAAGTGCTCACTGCAGCTGAAATCTCCCTTCTACCCATTCCTCTGCTCTCAGCAATTCATTCCTTCTTGCTTTTTTTGTGCCGGTGCTGACACTTCCCTGCCCACACTCTGAACTGATTCAACTTGATAAAACAACAGAAAATCAATACAGAAGAAAAGAGCAAAGTTAACAGGTTAACAAATTAAATTTTCTAAGCAAAGGACCTTGTTGCAGGCAAGGCAATGAGTGATGAGGTATGCAGATGTTGGGGAAGAGGAGTGGAAAGGGAGTGGAGGGGCAGATGGCCTTTCACTGCCTTTTTTGTGCAGTGAGAAATTAGTTGGTGTCCACTCTGTAGTCTCACTGAACTCAGCACTTTGCAACATAAGTAGCCTGTATTAAAGTGATTTTACAAGGTCTGATCATTGGGTGGCAGCTCTGAGCCAATGTTTTTATCTGACAGGGCAGAACTTGGAAAAAAATGGGTTCTTCTCTGGTTTAGCTAAACCATTCACCAAAATAGCTATTTAAGAACTGTTTCAGTCATCTATAAACAGTCAATGCACTTGAAAAATAGATAATCATACTATAGCAATTTGAAATAGAAGAGACCAATTACATGCACGCTTTTGCAGCACTCTCCTCATACCTTCTAGCATTTCTTGCAGAAATGGATATTTCCCAGTTCAGGCTCATGCATCCCTGCAGTTGAGGCACAGATCATTCTGCAGGATATCACTTTTAATAAAAATTTCCTGTTCTCCAGCCAATCTTTTTTTCTTTTCATTTAACCCTCTGACTTCTGCCTATCTTGTGCTATCCTGAACAATTCCAACCTTTGGTATCTCCACTGCAAATGATTTTGAAGGGCTTATTAAAGAAATGGTAACAACTGTAAGAAGGGGAGATAGTCACTGCAAGAACTCTTATCAGAGTCTTCAGCCTCCTATTAAAATCAATCCTTTAGGCTGTAAAGCTTGCACTGAAATAAAACTTAAATTCAGAGCTACATCTATCCTGAGGTAAGCCCAGTATTCCTAAAAGAATGGAGTACTTACTGCTGATCCTGCCTATAATGGGATAAAAGAGAAATCCAGCGCTGCTTGAAATGGCTAGAGATCGCAACAAAGAGGGAGCAAGTGAATTGACTTCAGTGGATTTCACTCTTGCGCACTGGAGTTGAAATACAATTGTGTCTTAAGTTTGAAAGTATTTAAACCACTGTTATCCATCAAGAGACAATAGTGTTTTGAGGGTTAGGAATTACCTGTGGTGTTCCCCTTGACAGTGGTAGAGCAAAGGAGCCATGGAGCAAGAAAGTAAAAAAAAACCCAAAACCCAAACAGTATTTTCCTCAGGGTTCTCTTTGGTTTTTTTTTTGTCACAGACTCCTCTCTGAGGATCTGAAATGTTGAGGGGGCAGTGTGGGACTGCAGACAGAACCAAAGCTTCATGGGCTGAAGCTGCCAAGAGCAGCGACCCAGTATCAGAGGTGGGATCACCACACTTGGAAACAGTAAGAGAGGTTTAAGAGCAACATCTCCTTACAGGTGGACAATGGACTCTCTCAGCTCTGGGCAAAACAGGGGAATGGGCTACATTACCAAGAAGCTTTCAGGTTGCATTGCTGATTTTAGTAAACAGGCCTACCAGTGTTTATGCTGAGTTACCATTTTATCCCTTTTAATAAAATTCCTTTTCTTTTAAATCCTTGGATTCATTGCTCTTGAGCAGGAAAACTGATTATCCAAGCTCATTATAGAATCATAGAATCATAGAATCATAGAATCATAGAATCATAGAATCATAGAATCATAGAATCATAGAATCATAGAATCATAGAATCATAGAATCATAGAATCATAGAATCATAGAATCATAGAATCATAGAATCATAGAATCATAGAATCATAGAATCATTAAGGTTGGAAAAGGTCTTTAAGATCATCGAGTCCAACTGGCAGCCCAACACCCCCCCCCACTAACCCATGTCCCTAACCACCACATCTACATATCTTTTAAATACCTCCAGGGATGGGGACTCAACCGCTTCCCTGGGCAGCCTGTTCCAGTGTTTAACCACTCTTTCAGTAAAGAAATTTTTCCCCCCGTCCAATCTAAACCTCCCCTGGCGCAACTTGAGGCCATTTTCTCTCATCCTATCGCTAGTTACTTGGGAGAAGAGACCAACACCCACCTCGCTACAACCTCCTTTCAGGTAGTTGTAGAGAGCGATGAGGTCTCCCCTCAGCCTCTTCTTCTCTAGGCTAAACAACCCCAGTTCCCTCAGCCGCTCCTCATAAGACTTGTTCTCCAGACCCCTCACCAGCCTTGTTGCCCTTCTCTGGACACGCTCCAGCACCTCAACGTCCTTCTTGTAGTGAGGGGCCCAAAACTGAACACAGTATTCGAGGTGCGGCCTCACCAGTGCCGAGTACAGGGCCACAATCACTTCCCTAGTCCTGCTGGCCACACCATTTCTGATACAGGCCAGGATGCCATTGGCCTTCTTGGCCGCCTGGGCACACTGCCGGCTCATGTTCAGCCGGCTGTCGACCAACACCCCCAGGTCCTTTTCTGACAGGCAGCTTTCCAGCCACTCTTCCCCAATCCTGTAGCGCTGCATGGGGTTGTTGTGGCCAAAGTGCAGGACCCAGCACTTGGCCTTGTTGAACCTCATACAGTTGGCCTGGGCCCTTCGATCCAGCCTGTCCAGGTCCCTCTGCAGAGCCTGCCTACCCTCGAGCAGATCAACACTCCCGCCCAACTTGGTGTCGTCTGCAAACTTACTGAGGGTAAAGTGCCCTTACTTATGTGCCCAAGCAAAATCGTTTTCTTTTCCTATAACCTGAGAGCCTTGAACTGAAATTGATTACCTATTTTTAGAAAGGAGCCCTAGATAAATCTGGCTTCTTCCCCTGCCAATCACACCTATCAGGGGAATGTGAGCCTATCTAAATGCAGGTACATGGAAATTATGGCCTGTCCCTTTTACCAAATACATTAATATAACTAAGAAAGGCGTAGGGCTGCGTGATATCTTTCACCATGTTGGACTAGAAGCTGGAGAGGAGAGGTAGCATTTGTGGAAAGAAAATGGGATTATAATGGTGTCATTTTTCAAATTTTTGTCTTGGTTATCGAAGACCCCTACAACTCCAGCAGGCTTTTCTGAATCTCAAAGCTGGCTGCTTTCCTTTCCTCAATAGCTTTCTTTAGTATTCTGAAGATCTGAATCACCTCAATATTCTGTGCATTGTCTTCCTTGCCACTGATGGATCCCCCATCATACGCAGGCTATCTGATCATTTTAATGGATTTCCAAAACTATTTACTTGGTGCTGTGTGTTGACCCTGGCTGGATGCCAGGTGCCCACCAGGCTGCTCTATCCCTCCCCCTCCTCAACTGGACAGGGGGAGAAAAATATGACAAAAGGCTCATGTGTTGAGATAAGGACAGGGAGATCACTCAGCAATTAACTGTCACAGGCAAAACAGACTCGACTCGGGGAAATTAATTTAATTTATTGCCAATCAAATCAGAGTAGGATAATGAGACATAAACCCCAAATCTTAAAACACCTTTGCCGCACCCCTCCCTTCTTCCCAGGCTCAACTTCACTCCCAATTTTCTCTACCTCCGCCCCCTGAGTGGTGCAGGGGGACAGGGAATGGGGGTTGCGGTCAGTTCATCACAGATTGTCTCTGCCGCTCCTTCCTCCTCACGTTCTTCCCCTGCTCCAATGTGGGATCGCACCCATGGGAGACGGTTCTTCATGAACTTCTCCAACGTGGGTCCTTCCCACGGGCTGCAGTTCTTCACAGACTGCTCTAGCGTGGGTCCTTTCCATGGGGGGGTTGCGGTCAGTTCATCACACGTTGTCTCTGCCGCTCCTTCCTCCTCACGTTCTTCCCCTGCTCCAATGTGGGATCGCACCCATGGGAGACGGTTCTTCATGAACTTCTCCAACGTGGGTCCTTCCCACGGGCTGCAGTTCTTCACAGACTGCTCTAGCGTGGGTCCTTTCCATGGGGCACAGTCCTTCAGGAAGAGACTGTTCCAGCGTGGGTTCCCCACAGGGTCACAGGTCCTGCCAGAAGACCTGCTCCAGCATAGGCTCCTCTCCACAGGGCCACAGGTCCTGGCAGGAACCTGCTCCAGCGCGGGCTCTCCACAGGGTCACAGCCTCCTTTGGGACACATCCACCTGCTCCAGCATACGGTCCCCACGGTCCTCCACCATGGACCTCCATGGGCTGCAGGGGGACAGCCTGCCTTACCATGGTCTTCACCAGGGGCTGCAGGGGAATCTCTGCTCCAGCACCTGGAGCACCTCCTCCCCCTCCTTCTTCACTGACCTTGGTGTCTGCAGAGTTATTTCACATATTCTCACTCCTCTCTCCCAGCTGCTGTTGCGCAGCAGTTTTTACCCTTTCTTAAATATCTTATCACAGAGGTGCTACCACCGTCGCTGATGGGCTCAGCTTTGGTCAGCGGCGGGTCTGTCTTGGAGCTAGCTGGAACCGGCTCTGTCAGACACGGGGGAAGCTTCTGGCATCTTCTCACAGAAGCCACCCCTGTAGCCTCCCCGCTACCAAAACCTTGCCACACAAACTCAATACACTTGGGGATCTTTCTGACTCATCTGCACCTTCTTACTCCCTACTTACGTTAGTTAAGAGTACTTATGTTACTTCCTGCCCATAATGGAGGAAAACTGTTATGGTGCTGCCAGGATTTAATATGACTACATAGTTCTCCAACACAGGTTCTTCGGGAAAAAAGCACCCCTTTTCAAAAAATATGTAAGGACATTTTTGTGGGTTCTGAATGTCCATGGAGACCTCAAGGGTCTCCAAACGCATCCAGGTGCAGTTCAGGAGACGAGGTTGGTGCTTGACGTGAAACTGAGACCATGACACCAGTTTTCCCAGGAGAAAACTCATGGCAAGAGTGGTCACTGGGGGTCCTGTGAGTCACAAGGCAACTCCGCAGCAGTGACAAGTGGCGGATGGGGGGAGTCGACAGCTGATGGCAGTAACAGGCTCTCTGTGGTGACGTACTCCAAGGAGCACTGCTGAGGAGATGTGATACAGCTAAGAGCCTTTGGAGATTTCTGCTCTTCTGTTCTCACATTCGTGCCTTTCCCACAGGCTGGTGGGGCCGGTGAGACTTCTTTCTCATTGTCGAGGTGCTGCATCATATCCTTCTGCTCTGGGAGCAGGAAGGGCTGTGGAGGACCTGCTCCTGGCTGTCCTTGCCCCTGTGGAGCCTGGGGACAGTCTTCCTTTGGGAGGGTCACATGCTGAAGGGAAACTGATTTCTCACAGACTCCCACTGGGTCCACTGCCAGGGTCCGATGCATATCAGGCTGGGAGGACACCATTGGGCTGTACAAGTATGGACCATTGAAAGCAAAGCAAGTCTGGAAAGCAGTACTTGCATGAGCAGCACTCTTGCATGGAAGTCTGGCAGGCAGGCAGGATGGACCAGCAGTTTGATTCAATGGGCAGACAAGTGCAGACAATGAAAGTGAGGTTTTATGTGGCACTCCAGAAGTCTGACAGCAGTTTTGTGGAGCCAGTGTTGCATGGGAAAACTGCACTCTTTTTGCCTCAGCTCCATGGAACTCTGCTGGACTCTTAGTTGTCCTGCTCAGGTGAAAAAACACAGGACTTAGCTGCTATTGACAGCTATCTGACAGCTCTCTGACAGCTCTCTAAGGTGATAACTGCATATAAACAGGAGATGCTCCAAGGGGGTACACTGTCTTCCAGGAAACCAGAAGGAACCTTTGGCCATATTTCTTGCACATTCCTTAGAAGATGCAAGCCTCAGCCTTTTCTGTGCCACAGCAAGAGATCAACTGTCTACCACCAACTTTTCTCAATGCCAAGATATGCAAGCACAAATCAGCTTTTGAGAAAAGCTATGTTTTTGTTGTAAATAAAACAGAGCTGGGGACCATTCTTTGGCCCTCCAGTAAAATGGCATAGACTGGCTGTGCCCATACTGTATAGCCATGGTAGTCTTCTGGGTCTCCCACAGTGTCTCTGCAGTCTAAAACACAGCTAAGGCTTTGTGTCTGTTTTTGCAGTTCGAAGTGTATGACATAGCATGACCGCTGTGTTACAGCTGTATTCATGGTGTGAAACAGGATGTGTGTTGCATGGCCTGGGTGCAAAGCCTGCTAGAATACTGTTGAAGGACACCAAACACAGCCTAACCTGGTACAGTCGTGTCCATGTTGCCCACTGGGAATGGTTGCTGCCCTGTGCTATCTCCCAAACTGTGCCAGGATGTTGTCTTGGAGAGCACTAGTTGGCACAAGCCAAACCATGGCAGGGAGAGTGCTGACAACAAAGCAGTGCAAGCAGTTACAAGGCAATGCTTGATACTACATCTTGGCCCTGATTTATTTAGCAGTATAGGCTCAGACAATGTGACTGCTAGCATCAGCATTTATGCAGCTCTTGAGCTTTCAGTGATACTTTGCAGTTACTTCTTCAAAATAAAGGGCCCGTCTCTTACAAGCACTGAACATGAAGCTAGACAAAGGGAGAAGACAAAGATTTCAAAGAACTAACAAGCATAATCCATCTTTCCTTCACATGACTTCTTACAAAATTATGTATTAAGAAGAGCTGACCCTCTCTCTTAAGAGGCAGATAATTATCATGAAACCCACGGGTCAATTTAATTTGTGTCAGCTGACTGCACTGCAACCTAGGCTAGTTTCCTGGACAGAGCACTATGGTCACCTCCCTGCTCCATCTTTGAAGACCTGACATGAATTTGAGGCTGTATGGACAATTTGGAGCTATTTCTGATCAGCTGCAAACTGGCCGGGACCACTGCAGCTCTTCTTTGTTCACATTCCACTTTCAAAGTCAGACTTTGCTTCGAGGAGCAGAAAGTATATCATTTCTAGAGGATGAAGGGGTAAGGGAATATTTGTATTTTTGTGAGAGGGAGGTTGTGTTCAGGCGGGCTGGGAGGAATTCAGCCAACAAGATTTCCACCCTATTAAGTCAATGCCTTTTATTCAAACCTATTTCCAAAGGAAATGCAGAGGAAGAAAGGGAGCAGGTTTCTATCCTCAGACTTCCAGCCAGGGAAGTCAAGGTCTGCAGCTGCAGCAATTCATTACAATTTCCATAGATGTTTGGAAGGTGTACACAGACTTAGGAGATACACAAGTGACAATGCTTTGTCCTCCCCATCGCAATGGGTGATATCCATGCACAGACTGCTCTTACCCCACGGTTAGTAAGGAACCTTTCAAGAAAGGAGTAGGGAGCGGGCTGCTTACTCACCCATCCAGAATTTTAAGGCAGTTAATCTGCTCCATCTCCTCCAAAGTGTTTTGCCCATTGAAGCACACCTGTCTGGCTGGCCGTTGGCTGACAGCTTCCTGAAGAGAGAAAATGAAGACTGTAACACTTCTGAGGAAAGAGAGATCACATTAAGGTCAGGAAGAGCCAGGAGCCATGCGCACAAGAACGCTAGTAGCAAACTTTTGTCCCAACAACCTTGCTGTTCTCATTTTTAGTGCCATGCTGTTTCCCCACCTAAACACAGTAGAAACATTGCTACAGGCAATCTTTAATAGATTGATGCAGGTTAAAAAACTGTCAATCTGAAAGTATTCCTGGCACCTTCATACCCTTTGATCTGTTCTAACATCTTCTATCAGCTTTTCACCTCTTCGTCCTTGCTTAAATCTGCAGATCCTCTTCACATTTCAACCTTCATTCTCTAGCCAGAACAAGCTGAGATCTGTTTCTCTTTGATCTTCAAGTCACAATGGATGGTAATGTGGAAGCTGTGGCTACGAAGTATGTCCTGTCCTCCAGAAGACTATTCCTTCACTTCCACGTTGTCTATCCCTGACCTATCTTTATGCAGCATAGGAGTCAGGGGCTGCTGCAGCTGCAGGTTCCTGTCACAATAAACTTCAAAGCAGCTGTGTTGTGCAATGCCTACTCTGATTCCTGCAGCAGCACATGAGGACACTCTGGGCAGCATTTCACCTATAGAGCTAAAATGACTGTCCTTCTGTGCTGACTGACCAGAGAAACAGAACTGCTGAGATATTTACAAAGTTTAGGCTAAGGGAATTTGCTACAGGGATGAAAACTCTCAAAAACACAAGACTAACAGAGAGCACTTGTGGATGGAGAGCTGGGTATGAGATAGGTTACAAAGCTACTGTGATGCTTTTTAGAGTAGTGGATGGCCTTGTACTGGTGTTGATTATTGTGCGTGGACAGAAAAAGAAGTTGAAGAAGTCTGTCAACAGCCAAATTAATCAGAAGGGACTTTAGAACAATGACTGATCTGCAAGGGGGATTTAGCAGAGCCTGCAAAACATGCAGATATGCGTCATGTAAAGCAGTCTGGTGTACCACACTTCCCCTATGTCAACTGCTGACTGGATGCATGCCTGAGAGACATTGCTTGCTGACTAAATAAGGGGCTGAGAAATACTGGGTGCCAAATGAACAGTTAGCTGAGGACCATGACAACCCACCATGTGCAGCACCTTCAGGAGCAATGCTAAGACCAGGTTTTCCACTTAAGGTGAAAATATAAAATGGGATGAAAGGACCTGCAAGGTAGGGGGTGAGGCTGATAGAGAAGACAGGGGTGGAAAGCTAAAAATGTTGCAATTGGAGAAGTAACTGTTAAGTTAACCTTTGTAAAGGCCACTCTTCCCTGGAGTCATGCATCACTGACTTGCACTGCAGGGAGCTAGAAATTATGTAGAAGTCATTTAGCTTAAGTAGAAGATAAAACACAGTGGCAAAAATAGCATGAACTCTCTGTCTGTAGAATGGAGATTAGCAGCATTGCCTTAAGGAGATAGAGAAATTAGAGAAGTGAGATCAAATACAAATCCAACGGTTCCAGGGGAGACTTGCAGATAGATAAGGCTGTGGAATTACGATAGTGAGAAACTGAAACATGCAAGAGTCAGCTCCAGGAAGGAACCTAGCCACTGTTTTCATAAAACTCCAAGTATGCTCCATGCAGTGCCTCTTTTGGTGATATCCACCTACTAGGATATAATTTCTTTGGATCACAAGATCTGCATGGCCCTTGCAGATGAAATCAGGAAACGGGTGAGGGAGAGAGATGGAAGAAAAAAAAAGCCACTTACTTTTAAAAATGCCTCCAAAGATACAACTGTGCAAATTATACATTTCCTTTTCTTTGCCCTCTCCTTTCTTACATGGAGGAAAATGTCCATGTCCAGGAAGAATAGCATGCAGGAGGAAATATATCTCCCACAGTATGAAGTCAACCTCCAGCGACTGCAGAGGAGTATACAAGGAGGTAATCATGCAAAGACTATAGAAGGTAGCATAGTAGAGAGTCAGGCAACATCCTGAGCAGGAACAGAGAAAGGTCAATTCCATCTAGGGACAACAGGTTTCATGTATGAGGAGTCTGGGAGCATTTTGAAGGCAAGGGATGGCAAAACTGGTCAGATGCGTCAGAGGGGAGAGTCGGTTTTATTTTTCAGCTCTCAGGTCCTGGATACTAAGGTAGGAAAACAGGCAGAAGACCAAAGTCTGTAGTGAAGGGTTTCATGAGGCTCAGCCAGGCTCCATAATCCACCTGGACAGGACAGCAGTCTGTTCAGTGACAGTCCAGACGCTGAGTTGGCAGCTCCCCCTCAATCAGGCAGCCCAACACACCCCTCCCTTCTTTCTTTTCACCCTGGAATAACTCCATGTTGTACTTCTCCAGGAGCACTCTTCCCTCTTACCCCTAGGTAGCTCTGGATCAGGAGACTCTTGCTGGGGTTCGGAATCTTTTCCTCCCACATTTGCTTCTTCCTGCAACAGCAAGACAGAGTTTTCAAGATTTGCTTCTCAATGTGGCTGCAGCCAGAAAAGGCTGTACCCCGTAAGCCACTTACTTTTAAAAATGCCTCCAAAGATACAACTGTGCAAATTATACATTTCCTTTTCTTTGCCCTCTCCTTTCTTACATGGAGGAAAATGTCCATGTCCAGGAAGAATAGCATGCAGGAGGAAATATATCTCCCACAGTATGAAGTCAACCTCCAGCGACTGCAGAGGAGTATACAAGGAGGTAATCATGCAAAGACTATAGAAGGTAGCATAGTAGAGAGTCAGGCAACATCCTGAGCAGGAACAGAGAAAGGTCAATTCCATCTAGGGACAACAGGTTTCATGTATGAGGAGTCTGGGAGCATTTTGAAGGCAAGGGATGGCAAAACTGGTCAGATGCGTCAGAGGGGAGAGTCGGTTTTATTTTTCAGCTCTCAGGTCCTGGATACTAAGGTAGGAAAACAGGCAGAAGACCAAAGTCTGTAGTGAAGGGTTTCATGAGGCTCAGCCAGGCTCCATAATCCACCTGGACAGGACAGCAGTCTGTTCAGTGACAGTCCAGACGCTGAGTTGGCAGCTCCCCCTCAATCAGGCAGCCCAACACACCCCTCCCTTCTTTCTTTTCACCCTGGAATAACTCCATGTTGTACTTCTCCAGGAGCACTCTTCAAGCTACAGTTCCCTCTTACCCCTAGGTAGCTCTGGATCAGGAGACTCTTGCTGGGGTTCGGAATCTTTTCCTCCCACATTTGCTTCTTCCTGCAACAGCAAGACAGAGTTTTCAAGATTTGCTTCTCAATGTGGCTGCAACCAGAAAAGGCTGTACCCCGTACACCGTGCTGCTCTGCACAGCGAGGCGCCACCAAGGCCCTGGAATGTCGCCACACAACTCTCACCCTTGCACAGGCATGCACAAGGCTGCCCATTGCACACCAAGGCTCATCTCCACATAGACCTCTCTCCCATGGGGGACAAGCAGTGCCTCAGTCTCTAGGCCACCCACGCGGCCAACACGCTGCTAAATCTCCTAGTCACAACGCAAGCCTACCTGAGGAAATACTTATAGCTGCAATAAGCAACTATTAGCAAAGCGATGATGAGAACTGGGAGCATCACTGGGAGAACCACTGGTGGCAGAACTGAAACAGAGAAAAGAGAAATAGGTATCCACCTGCAGAGCGGCTGCTTCCCGTAACAGGTTTTTCACTCTGGTCACTCTTCATGCAAGCAGATCAGGGAAAGGTAGGTGGCATGTCACGGGATGGGATCAAGAGGCCTTCAAACTGTTGGGATACCCTCCAAAGTCAGAGAGACCAAACGTGGCCTGAACAGCTTACTGACCAAAGGAGTTCATCGTTTCCTTCACCGATTCTTTTTCACTTTTTACTGACATCAGAGTGAACACTTTATGCTAATAAAAAGATGGTTAGGTACCCTACTCCACCATGAACAATAGGCATGCCTTCAGGCATCTTAGGTCTGCCTTACTCTGCACTGTCCTGAAGAGATGGGGTCTCAGAGGTTTTCTGAGAAAGAGCTTCCTCTGCTGATGGCCATAACTGATCATCAGCTACATACCTATTTCTTCCTGAGTACACTCATCAGAATCTGCCTACTGTCTTACCACTGCAAGCTTCCTCAGGACAAATCATATAAGATCATATTACTTTGGGCACAAGACCATATGATAGCAGACATTCTGCCTCTAAGTCCAGGAACAGCAAAAACATGTAAAGGTTCCTATCTCCAGTAGACTCTACTGTGTGTTTTACGCAACCCTATAGGCACTCTGCAAATATAAAAGACTGATGGCTTATATTCTGTCTTCTTGCAGTCTCGGGCTCTTCAGTCCCTGATGGCAGAATGGACTACTGGAATCAGGAAACAAGGATGATCTTTTGGGCAGGATCTCTGCTTGATTCTTCATGTGAAAACCTTTACGCTTGGTTGTACTCACCTTGTGAAGGGAAGTAGGAAGAAGCTTAACAGGTCATTCCTGCTCACCTCCTTCATTAGCATTGCTGCTGTACTGCAAGGTCACAGACAGGACAGCTACCTACCTTGTTGAGCGACGCCAGCTAGCTCATGGCTGGACCGAATTTCAACCCCAGCTGGGAGAGTGTATTTATCTATAGAGGCATTTCAGCCATCAAGAGTCCACAAAATCTTACAGAACTAGCCTGCGTGAAAAGTACCATTCTCAGTCTTCCAGCTGAACTCCTCACTCCACTCACTCCAAGGCCCCTCATAATCCGGAGGCGTATTCACCCTTGCACGCATTTTCCCCGTATATTCTGTAGATGATGCCAACATCTGCAGGGTGAAGATGAACGGAGGTTCATCATTGCTGATATTTAACTTCTGGAGAGTCTAGGGAGAAGAAAGAAGCACACGTGATGAAGGTGAGAGGAACCGTCCTTCCCATTTGCCCAGCAAAGAGAAATCCAGGACTCCTGCACTTTCTAAGGCTTACCTTTCCGTATTGGTTGTTTTTCCAGTACTCGACTTGGTATCTCTGTTTTATGAAGCCATACTGAAAAGTGTGTTTTATCCACCTCAGTTCATACTCTTGGCTCTCTGTCACTGTTACTGACACATTTGCAGGCGGCAGCACCTTAACTGGAACACACGGAATGTCTCAGAGTACTAATCAACATACTGGTCCAGCACTCCCTTTCACCACTGTGAGTAGTTTCCAGAGACTGAAAACAATGTTGGTTTATGCAATGTTAAGAAGTCTCAGCTTTTTAACACTTCTTAATCCCCCGCATCTTCATGTTCTAGTCAAATACAGTAAACCAGCAGACCATTAAATAACAGAAAATCCATATCCATTGATATTGACAGCACTCCCTGTGTACAGAAAAGCCGTAAAGCAATATTTGAACCGGTCCACCACATTTCCAGAGATTGTCAGCTCTCTTGGAGCTACTACCTGATAGTTTCACCCACTGCAGGAGCTCTCCCAGCTTTAGCCTGTGAAAAGCAGCACCAGTACCTCCAGATACATGCAGGCAGAGATGATCCACCTGGCACACCTCACTCAGCAGAGGAGTCCTACCTCATCCAGTGCTCCGGGGGCCACTGCACAAACCCACAAGAGCTCCAGTGGCTTCTTGAGACATCACATAGTGACACACTCCCCACAAACACCTCTCACCACAGCTCCCTGTCACCTGGGACACCCGTGAAGGTCAATCACGGAGAAGTCAGCAGGGTGACAGTCGCTCACTGAGGAGCTCTGGGTCACAACCCACATTTCTGCACAGCAGTTTCCACCACTGCCACCTTTCTCCGAGTAACAAGTGCCACTGAGGAACTCCACACCCACAAGCCACCTCTCCCAGACCTCTGACCTGACACCACATCCAGTTCCTTTCTTCATCAGTCCCGGACTCTTCCTCTTCCCACACGCTTTTCCTCACCACCGCTGTCCTCAGCCCCACTTGCCCAGACAGGCATCTCTCCAAGAAACAGCCAGGAGAAGCAAGAAACAACACAGCAACTCACTGTTCTTGTAGGCTTCAATCACTTTCTCCTCCATCTTGGCTCGGACAGACACATGGTACCGACTCTGACGACTGGAGTTGCTAACAGGGATCTCACAGCTCTGGACCACGTAGGGGATGTGGGTCAAAGCCTTCTCGTGCACGGGAGAGCACTCCTCTTCTCTGAGGGGAGAAAAAGAGGTTGAGCTGAGGCCAGGGGGAATGGGACAGAGCAGAAACTCCGTGGGAGAGGCACAGGCACGCTGCCATGGGCAGAGCACGTACGCTGATGCCCGAGTGGCCCTGAAGAACAAGCCAAAGACGACAGAGGTGATGATCGCTTTCTTCACTTCCCAGCTGCATGTCAGACGATCTGCACCATTGAAGAGGCAGCGAAGGTTCCTGGGCTGAAGGCCACCTTCAGAGAAGACAAGAGCAAGCTCAGTGACAGGAAAGGTCTGGCTTCGCAGCCAGCGCTTCCACCCCTGCAGGGCACCACTCCGTCCCACGCTACCTTCAGGGGTCTCCCACGACACCTCCGTGCTCCACTCGCTGTACGGCCCAGAGAAGCCACTGGCCTGCCCCGGTCTGGCTCGCACACGGGCAACGTAGCTGCTCCCTGGGACAAGATCCTTGTGGCTGAGATGGCAACGTGTGGTGTTGGAGAGCAAGAGCGAGGCAGCTTTCTGTTGTTGGGGGAAAGGTGGGAGAGCGGGGAGGGAGAAAATTGGGGAGTTGGGGATATGCACACTTCAAAACTAAAAAAAAAGAAAGTGCATCCTCCTGGAAGGGGAAGCAGCTTCAAAGGTATTTTGCCATTTTCCCACATGAACACGCAGGCTCCTGTTGGAACGTGCTTTAATTCCGTTTGGGAGGGATTCAGGGCAAAATCATTTGCATCCAATTCAGGACAAATGGTATTTCACTGGGCAAGTCACTTGCAAACAGAAAGAGAGCCCCTTCCGCCTGACCTGCAACAACATTTGTTGCATCTCCTCATAGTGCCTGAGAACGGAAAGGCCATTTATTTGCACAGCTTTTACCGCAGGCTGTCAACCGCCCAAAAAGGTGCAGCCCAAACCAGGGCAGCCCAGCTCCTCTGCTCTTACCTCCCAGGACTCCCACTCCCGCTTGTAAGTGACTTCATACTCCAGTGCATTGCCCAGCCCTTGGCTTCCATCAGCTGCTTTCCAGGTCAGCAAGAAGTCTCCTGATGTCATCAAGCTGACTGAGAGGTTTTGAGGTGGGAGGGTCTGAACTGGAAGGTGAAGGTACAACCCATGGGATGAGATAGTGAGGACAGGGACAGGAAGAGGGGAAGAAAACACCTAGCTGATGTTCTCTGAGTGACAGAATCTGGATATTTAACACTTTCCTTGGATTGCTACAAATAATCCATGATTCTTTTTCACTCCAAAGTACAAACTCTACAAGATCTGGGAAATACGTTAAGGAATAGAAGAGTAAAGTAGGGAGAGCAGTGCTGTTGTGCAGCTTCACAGCAACTTTGTGAAAGAATATGCTGTAGTGCATGTAGAGCATGGTGCTGAAACAGAAGGCTTTTTTGATATCTTCCCCCAATCCCAATCAAGACACTGGTTATCTGGCAGGCCTACCCCCATATTTTCCATTGTAGTCATTTAAGGTGGACTCATTTTTGTCTATCCCAAATGCACTGAATTTGAATATGGTAGTATGGCCTTATAGCCATTTAACTTCACTCTTGCTTACGTTTCAGGTTAAGGGCTGACCTAAGTATCTTTTTAGGATTAGATATTCAATACATTAATCTGAAAAACTTCTAAATACTCAAGAATAGAGACAAGACTTAGTGGTTCTCTTTACCATTCTGAAACAAGTAGACTTTTAGCTCTGCATGCAGTGTCAGGTCAAATTTGAAATTGTAGTTTCTTTGATCATATCCGTGTCGGTGGCACACCCAGTGCATTGTGAAGTTTTGGCAGTCAGCATGGTTTTCACCTTTGTGGAACCTGCTGGTCATTTCTTTGGTCCTGGTTACACAGAAAAAAGCATGACTATCTGAATAGGATGCTGCTAGATGACCCAAACTGTAGTTTCTGAAACCTTCCCCACATGCTATTTTATTCTGTTTCTAAATCAATGTTTATCACCACATTATGTTGGCATACTCCTGTAGTTCATTAAGTGACATGAATAAATTCTCTAATATCAAGCACATCTGCTTTATTCTCTCTTCCTTTCCTCAAAGGCAGAGGCACTCACAATAACTGTCTTGGGTTGGTAGGTGTTTGGGCCCTGAGCACAACCTCTTTCACTGCCCCCCCAAGGGGTTTGGCTACCCATGCTCAAGGCTGTCTAAGATGGAATCAGCCTGACTGAGGGCGTCCCCACCTTCACTCAAAAGCTGCTTTTAATTTCAGGCCCTTGCCTTTGGTCCTTGCCTGAGCTATGACGTAGCCATATCTGTGCCTGGTGATACACGTTGCTGATTGTGATTTGTGGAATTGACTTCCTAGCTTGACCTTAAGCCTGGCTGCTGGATAGGGACTTCCTTGGGGATCTGGACTGATGGTTGATCCTCGTCACTCTCACTGTTCTGTTTTTCTTGTTACTGTGGGATTACGCCATTGTCAATGAGGTCAATGTCTTGCTGTCACCCTCTGCTCCTACCTCACCTTCCCTTAGCAAGCAAAGCTTGTTGCTTCTATAACAGTAGGGTTGGCAGTTTACATGTGTACATCTGTATGTTATGCTATGCTTACACTAGAGAAGTCAAAGAAGGTAAGCCAAAGAAACACAGCTAGCAGTTGGGACAGAAGTTTTGTGAGGACCATGGGACTGCAGTCCTCCTACAAAAAAAAACTATTTCCATGCAGACTGTGGAGCCCTTTGTGCCACAGAAACATTTCTGCGGTTTGTAGACTTCAATCCACAGCAAACTGCTAACATTTGGAATGTAATTCAATACTGTAGAGACTGTAAGGAGCACCTTCTCCATTGACTTCAAGAGCTGTCAGGTCAACTCATGAATCCTAGAGCTCTTTCTCAAAAATAAAACCAAGATAACTTCTTCCTATTCTTATTTCATATGTTTTCTTCCCACCCTCCAATCTCTCTGCTGTTTACTCCTCCATCTCCTGCTTCTACTATTACTCTTTTTTCTCCTTCCCCTATCTCTTGCTTCTTCTTTGTCCCCTCCTCTCCCTCATACTCTCCAGTTTGACTGTTCCGTATTTTTCTTGAAAGGAAGCAGAAGTAGCAAAAAGATAGTGCAAGACGTAGCCTAGTATCTCTGAGAGGAAACCCGATGAGTCAAACAAACATGCACAACTTCTGTTTTTCTCACAGTTTCTTTTGCAGAAATTATTTCAACACAGCTATGCTCTTACTGGCATAAGGAAGAAGAAGCCTTCATTGCCATTCTGATTAGTTATTATCACCACTGCATCTAGTGTAGCACATCCTTCTCCACTCAGATGCAATAATTAACATGGCCTGCCATATTTTGTGCATGTGTTCTCATAGCAAAAGCAGGGTAGAGTGATTGAAAATACAATGAAAATGACTTGATTAGCATGCTCTTCTTCCTGTTCTTCTTCATCCTGTACAGATCCAACTTTCTCCCTAGCCTGGACATAACACTGGTGTCTGCAAGCTGGATACTATGCTAGCTGCAAGCCCAGTCCACAGTCGTTTTGCCCAGCTCCATCTCTTAGGTTCAGCAGCCAAGCCCCTTTTGACCCTTCACAGAACACCAGCCAGACACTTACTTTTCATGGCTGGTGTTAAAGTTCAGAGTCACATTCAGGAATTGATGAGCTTCTGAACATTCCATCCATGTGCACGTTTTAAGAGATATGTAGTCATTATAACACTGTAGGGTCTGCCTTGGGATGCTCTCTGTAAAAAGGAAACAATCAGAAGAGGGATGGGGCTAAAGGAGGTAGTGGGAAATGATAAAATGAACACAAGCTCTGCTACTGTGCTGGAGAAGGCAGAGACAGAGAAGTGAGGAGCTGTGTGATGAGATCTGCTGGGAATATCCCCTATGTTGTTCAGTTCCTATTGCATGGATTTCACAAATAAAATTTGGCCTTTCATCAGAAAGCCTGAAGGCAAGAAGTCTCCAGCAGCAGCTGCTGCTCTTAGAGTAGGCTGGACTGTCATTATGTTGGCATTTATCAGAATTTTATCGTGAAGCTTAGGACTGAGAAAGCCTCAACTTTTTGACTCTGCTTGTTTGTAAATCAAAATGATCATGCAAGAAAAGTAAGATTCTGGTCTACAACCTGTGAAGAAAAGTTGGAATTGTTTTGTAATAGGTAAAATTAATTTTCAAGAAATATTCTAATTCAAAAGATGAGTCCAAAGGGTTAAGCTCGGTGTTTTTAAGCCTCATTGGACTTCATGCCTTTGAAGCAAAAGGGCCTTGTAACACTGGCTAAAAACTCAAACACATCTTCCCCTTTCTGTTCCCCACCCCCAGACAGGAATCACAGCCATTCTGATACAGTGAACTATGATCTAAGACTTCAGATTGTACCTCTGTTTCTCTTCCTGAACTGCAGAGACCTGATGCTCCGTGAAACTCCAACACAGATGGAAAGATGGTCAAGCGTCAGTATAACACAGAAAGCCTAAAAGAGCAGCTCTTCCCAATGAGAAGCCTATTGTCTCCTATGAATGATCTTTTGATATTCCCAGTAGGAGGAAATGAGAGTACCAAGACCAACTGGGCAATGCTGAATGGGGATTTATTTAGCTGAGCGCTCACATCAGCACCAGTGTCCTAGGATCAGCATAATTCTGAGTCCTGGTAAATCCCTGCATAGTTTTGCAATAAACGAGGGTCCAAGCTGAATGGGAGGACCTCCAGGACCTAGGCAATGTAGTGTTGACTTTCATAACCCTTAATGACAGAAAGAATCTGGGAGACATACAGAAAAACAACTTCTAAGAACATAATTATAGATTTTTAAAAAGCCAAACAAATGCTCTCACCAATTCACTGCTCTTCTAGCAGTCAAGAGATGTCTCAGTAGAAAGGCAGTAAGTGCAAGGTATGAGTGAGTGTCCTGGTTTCGGCAGGGATAGAGTTAATTTCCTTTCTAGTAGCTGGTACAGTGTTTTGGATTTAGGATGAGAACAAAGTTGATAACGCACCGATGTTTTAGTTGTTGCTATGTAGTGCTTACACTAGCCAAGGACTTTTCAGCTTCCCATGCTCTACCGACTGAGAAGGCTGGAGGTGCACAAGAAGCTGGGAGGGGGCACAGCCAAACTGGCCAAAGGGACATTCCATACCATGTGACGTCATGCTCAGTATATGAACTGGGGAAAGCTGGCCGGGGGGGCCGCTGCTCGGGGACTGGCTGGGCATCGGTCGGCGGGTGGTGAGCAATTGTACTGTGCATCACTTGTTTTGTGTATTATTATTATTATCATATTATTATTATCATTTTATTTCAATTATTAAACTGTTTTTATCTCAACCCACGAGTTTTTTCTAACTTGTGCTCTTCCAATTCTCTCCCCCATCCCACCGGGTGGGGGGGAGTGAGCGAGCGGCTGCGTGGTACTTAGTTGCCGACTGAAATTAAACCACGACAGTGAGTGATTTATTGTTTAAGGCAAAAACCCAGATGCCTCGTTAAGCAGGACATTCAGCTTTGCCTTTCTGGGTTGTTGTTGTGGTGGTGAATACATTCACGTGCCCACCGAATAAGCCCACTTGCCTTAGCAAGAGTAATGCCTCTAGGAAGTCATATGCAAAAGTGAGAGACGCCCACTCTGGTTAGCTACAATGACATTCAAGTCACAGAAAGCAAAAAGCTTCCTGACAAGGAAAACATATTTAAAAAATCTAGCGGCTGAAAAATTTGTGTCCCTCTATCAGTAAACAAACATACCTCATAGGCAGATTTGCAGAGAACCTGCTTTTCCTTTTCCTTTTATGAAAAAGTTCTGTGCAAGGAGGAGCTGTGTCTGTGTTGAGGAAAGGTCACTGTTAACCTGGGAAAATGAATGTGCCCTTCCCTGAGAATTCAAACTCCAAGAACAGGCGCTGGAGTTGTCTGTGCTATGATGGGAACCACTGACCCAGGGTCAGCTTGGTTGAGAGCTCTTTTTTTCAGAAACAGCAGCCAAGAGATGGCGAGGAATGATTTTGCCATTCCTAGCAAGCCTAGGGCAGCTGATGCCTAATCTTGCAAGAAGCACCTGTGCCCAAGCCAAGTCACTTTCATGTCCAAAAAGTGAAATATGCTGCAAAGACAAGGTTGTTTCAGTCATCATAGGGTTATTGCTTGAGAGACCACAGAGTCCATGGCATTCAGTACTGTGAATCACATGTCAGGCAAGGGAGCATAATCCTCCCAAGTACCAGTGATACATGCCTATCTTTGGAAAAATAGGTGTGCAATGGGTACATTTTTCAATACCTTTTTTTCAATACCTCAGAGCCTCCAATGCTTATGAGTAATGACTAAGTTCCTCACTCGCACAGGTGCTGTGCCTCTGCTCTGCCAGCTGTGTTATCAACCGGCTCTCAGCTCCCTGTCTCTTAGGGAGCAGCCAAGCCCTCGCTCTAACTCTGAAGAGAAGGAGAGTATCACTTGGAGGCAGGACAAGTCAACAGACGTAACAAAGAGACAACTATTGTTGAGGAAAAGAGGCAGGTTGGAAAAAAGTTTTCTTTCGGTATAAACCAAAACGATATCTAACAATGGGACAGGCAAAGTCACAGCTCATACTCGTAATAGTCAGGCCTACTCAGATGTGAAACTTCATGACTAGTCAATTTAAGTAAATATACTAACAGGCTTTGAACATTGTCTAGCCCATCAAGTTTGGGGTCTTGCCCAAATACCATTCACAATTCTGCCATTGGCATTCATCTGGAGTGTTCGGTATAGCCCTGGTAACTACATATGTGTAGTATTACCAGGACACTCAAAAGTGTCCTCTTTCTGCACCAAGATGAAAGCAGAAAATAAAGGGAGCATGGAGAAATATCAAGCTAAAATAAAAGGAACAATAATAGAAAAGAAAGGAAAAAATAGAGGCAAAGAGTCTGAAACTCACCTCGAATATTTCCAACCCCCAAAACCAAGCATGGAGCCAGAAGAAGACTGATGAGCTCTCTCATCTTTACACCTTTGCACACAAGCATGGTCTTGTCAGGCAACAACTCCCTCTGTCACTGGCTGGTCTTCCTCAAATGCATGCTCAACAGCCACTGTCCTTCCTTCTTTGTCACCGGTTGTAGCTGAAAGCAAAACTCATGTGGTTAGCTGGGAGAGTCTTGGGCCTTCTGTTGGCCCCAAACCACCTCTTCCATCAACACTGACATGATCTCTCAGAGTGGCTTCGTATAATATAATTTATTAAGGGGAAAACTTTCTGCCTCTTGGCCAGAGGGCAAGGACAAAGCTTTCTGTTTGGAACTAATGATAGGATTTTCCACCTCCTTCCTTCACCTTGGGAGTAAGAAATAACCCCTAAGTTATGAGAAGGAATTAATTATCTGTGTTGATTCACCCGTCTGATCCATACAAAGTACATCCTGCTGTTCCGTTGAATCATGAACCTGTCCAAAAAGAAACAGTTCCTTGCCTCTCTTACCACTC